AAATGTTAGGGTAAGGATGCTTCGGGACGCTTGGGGGTTTTTGTGAGGGACGGACAGGGCGTGTATTGTCGTGAAGACTGACTGAGTTCATACATGCTCAGCTGGCACGGGAAGCCTCGTCTCATCAGTCGCCGCAGGTACGGGTCGTGGCCAAGGTGCGCAACTTGCCCAAGCAGCTTGGGCCACGGCGACCTCAGCAATGTTTCGTGTGTCTTCAAGGCCGCATGCTATTTTGGTTTGCTCTGGTCCAGGAGCCCATGTTTTTCAAAGTTTCTACATTGCCACTAAGCCTCCTGCGCCTCCATGAGCACCCCAAGATTTGAGGCTCAGCAAAGAAGAGCTGCAACGGTTGGATCAATTGCTGCACCTCGGCCGTCTTTGATTTTTTTTTAGTTTGCTCGAGTGCCGTAGGCCACCTGCATGCAGTCCTGAAGAGCTTTCCATGCTGCACATACAATGCCATGTTACCGTCTCAGGCCGTCCCTACCGCAGAGCGATTCGAAGGCAGGGGTTTTTGCGTGTGTTATCGCCATGGCTGTGATGTGCGACGTTGCGCGCGCATCGTACATTCGTACATACAAACATACAGCAATCTTCTCCACAAAGAAGGTTTTGGTGCCGGAGCCAGGAGGACTCGGGTGGGGACCTCAAGGGCTCGGCTTCAGGCGGACTACGGCAATGCAAGCTTTAGTGCAATGCAAAATAGGCCGCACAGCATCCCCAAAACCGATTCCACCAGGCCGAAACAACCTATACTGCCTGTACTCTATCCAAGTCTATTCTCCACTCAGCTTATTGTTTATATTCCCCAAGTCATGGTTTGCTCACACATGCCGCGCGTTGCAAAATCCAAAGCCTGTAAGGCAAGCACTGCAGCGCAAGTTCGAGAGACTAACGAAGGCTCATTTGCACATCTTGCGGAGCATGAAGTTCTGTTATGAAGTTGTGTGGTGCGACAATTGTCGGCAGTGCATCATGCCAGGTGCCATCACGCCGACGGGGATTGTGAGGCAGAAGTTCCAAGTTGTGCAGTTGTACAGACATCAGCAACATGTCGATTGAGCTGGCTTGTCGAAACTGAGTAAATGCTCGTAAGTTGTGTGCTCTAATCGTGTGCTGGGGCATTTCCGAACTTGGTGCTCCGTAGATAAGACAGATGAGACCAGCGTTGGTGAATATCTTGCTCCCTCTTTCTGCTGGAGCACAGGGTCACATGGGGACCATGATAATGCGCACGGATCTCCGCGAAAGTGGATGATCCGCTGTATAATGCTGTGTAGGCCATTGCAGGCTGTGTGCCGTCTCCTCTGGCTTCCCAGAAAAACGAGTTGTAAAGAGTTTCTTGAAGGCTTCTCACGTTTGTTCTGAAGATCATGTGGTGTCAAGAAGCGAGCGCACTAGCCGACGGCGCACGTTTGGAGGCGGTCCGGGTGCGGGGCCAACGTTTGCAGTTTCCTGTTCAATGTACGAAACACCTGCAGCATATTGCAGCATGCAACGACAGCAGTCTTACCCTGTGCAAGTGTAGGATCATGTACATATACAAGTTTGATTGGCACCCTGCAGACGATACCCTTCCAGCGAGCGTTCACCATGTTAATACTGTTTCTGTTGCGACAGCGCTTCCTCGGATGCGTGAAGAACTGCAACCGGAAAAGGTGTCACTGGACACTGCAGATGACTGCAGTCCCATTGGTTGGGGTACTCTTGTCTTCCTGGCGTGACTTCTCTGGTGTCGCCACGTATCGTCTCGAGTCTTGGAGTGCAACATCTTGCTTATTGCATAGGAGTGCTGTGCAATCTTGGGAAGAATGGCATGTTTGGCTCAAGCAAAGTGTCGGCACAGAGCGTGCAGCTTGCAACAAGATATGTCGCTCCCAAGCTGGCTGGGCTTGCTTGTGTCCTCGCTGCTGCCAGCATCTGCTGTTTGGATCAACAGCGGAACGCCCGTCGGTGTGCCGGAGGACTATGATTGTGCAATCCGAAAGCTCGTGTACAATAGGAGCCAGGAGCTGCTGCCAGAGCGGGGAGCATTCCGAACTTTGTTCGAGGCATTGCAGCTCCAAAACTGCAACTTAACAACCCCCGTCGAGATGGATCACTGGCAGCCACCAGCTCTGAGCCCACCCACGGATTCTGTCGTCTACGCCGATAGCAGCAAAGGCAATGGTTCAGCCAAAGTATACCCACACTAGTTTCTGCAAGTATCTTTTAAGCTATTTTCAGCTAAGCATCGTGAAGACATGTCATCATGTGAAGCTGTCAGGGAACGACAGCCATCCGGGGAGCCTGGCGCAGCCGGTGAAGTCTCTGGAGCAAGCTGCTGAGCTCGCCTCAAAGCTGAAGCAGCCAGCAACCATTATCCTGCGTGCGGGTACGTACTTTGTGCAGGGTGCCCTGTCGCAACTTTGTTACAACTTGCTGCATCTTAGCTACAACAAATCTACAACATCTCAACTGCTCAGACTTGGCAGCGGCCTTCTGTGGCACTTGCTGACTTGCTCACGGCCTGTCCATGCTATTTTCATCTTCCCTGGTATGGACTTGCGTGTTAGACACGGCAGAGCTTCTGTACTGCGATGTGCCCTTCGCCCAGTGGCCTAGTAGTGCTATAGCCCTGCGATGTGTAGTGTTTTGTGCACAGCAGCAGAAAGGGATCGTGTGCTGCGCAGTTCATGAGTTCATGAGTGAGGCACACTAGACCTTTCAGCTCGCCGCTTTCCGCTTGGCGTGCACCTGATGAACTTTCAGGGCGAGCGATGCGTGGACCGGCTGGGAACTGGATTGGTGCAGTGTCGGGCAAGTCAAGATAAATCCTGGGATGATTAACTCCTATAGGATACATCTAAGAAGAAAGAATTATTCGGAAAACTTTTGTGAACAATTCAATTGTGAAAAAGAATACAGGTTTCCTTGAAGGTCGGAGAGGTTGTCAGAGGGGTGGTGAACAGGTGGTGAGCGGCGGGCAGCCGCTCCAAATCCCTGCTGCCTCATGGAGCCAAGTACGCAATGAAGAAGGCTGGAAGCGAGCCTTGGAATAGAGATGGATGGAGGCTTCAATGAGGCATCTGGCCGTTCTTTGCTTGTGTCTTCCTTTGATGTTGTTCCTTCTTGTGTCATTTTCCTGATTTGTTAGGAGTGTGAGAAGTTTCCTGTAAACCGTTCTGCTGCAGCCTCACTCAGGATATTCTGGCTGGAACAACATGCAGGGCTTGGTCCCAAATGCCACAGCGAATGCCAGTTGCTGCCAGTGCCCTGTCCGCCCTTACAGCCCTTTTTTGGCCTGCTTGACCCCTGGCTGCCGCTGAGGTATCTGGGAGTGATGCCTGATGCTGACAGCTGCGAGAAAGCAGCCTCTGCGCAGCAGAATGCATTCACGAGCTACGTTTTCCATGAGTCACTTGACCGACCAATGCCATGCATGGGGAGAACCGCAAGAATGGTTTAGTCATTCCGAGTCATATGCGGTTGAGCCTTTCCCAGGTAGGACAGGGAACCCGTTCAAGGAGATGTAGCCATGCCTTGTCCAGGTCAATCTCAGGCCCCTGGCTGCGGACTTGCTACGGGATCCGTGCGCCCTTTGGCTTTCACCCCATCCAACAGGACGGCGTCGTCACAGGACCGCGTGACAAGCCATGTCATACCCCTCTCCAAGTCAGTCCAAGTCGATGCACAACGCATTTCGGAGGACGCTGGGTGCAGACCAATCTCTGGCAGGCAAGAGTGTTGGAACAGCAGAGAGTTGTGTGAGACATGTGAATTTGTCAAAGAAGTTCAGTCACCAATATCTACAGCCAGACGAAGCAAACCAAAGGCGCACCCGATGATTCATGATTACGGCTTTCCAACGGATGAGCTAGTGACCAAACAGTAGAGAAAGTGCATGAAGCATCTCGCCCATGCAGCTGTAAATCTTGGATCCGTGGCTCAGCATGAGTTGAGAGCATGAAGAAGCCATGAGATGTCATGAGTCAAAACACTGAGGCCTGCAAAGATACGTGCATGGTTTTGCGACCATGGCTATGGGCTGTGCATGAATCGTGCAGCACTATGCAGCATTTGCACGAGCATGTTCCATGTTAGTTTGGAACTCAGAGCCAAACTCGCCAGAAAATGTTCCTTCGCTTCTCGGGATGGGCAGAAGTTTTGGTTCAACTAGGGTTTGAGGAATGCTGAAACCTTCAAAGAACAACTTACTTGGCATCCAGAAAGGCCCTGCGAGATGTAATAGAAGCATCGGGCGCCTGGTCTCTCAGCAAATTGCGTGGCCGAGAAATGGTCACCAGCATCACCGAAGCAGCAAGCGCCCATTCCAGTAACTTCTGGAGGATTTTAGCGCGCATCTCCGGGAACCGAGACCACACGAACGTCTTGCTCCTGCATGAACTCTGTGTGTGGAAGTTTGACTTGTGGGTGTCTTTGGATGCTGTCGAATAGGACATGCGTTGCCTGGATAGTTGCCATTACCGGTGCTTCGTCGAGCTCTGCGAAGCACTCGCTCATTGAAGAATCAGCCTTGCACCTGTTACATATCTACCGTTCTACTAAATTGTGGTTATTATCAGGATCAGCTGGCAAGTAAAAGACCCCGCGCATCAAGCATAGACATTTACCAAGAATCTCGCAAGTCCTCCTTCAACTACAAGTCATGCTGCAGTGGTCCAGTGCCCATATGAACAGGGAGCGCGAAACAGTTATGAACGACACAAAGATGTGATGCCTGCAGACGACCAAGCTACCAGCCATGCGAGCAAGAAGAGTTTGGCTCCATACCGGTCAACCAGCCCAAGCCCACACCTTTTTCTGCCACGGCAGGCAGACCTTGCCGAGTCCACGCAGAGCGATACGATGAGAAAACTGCTAGAGGACAAGATGACAGGGCCAGGGCATGTAGCCGGATGAGACAGGCATTTTGCGACGTCAGTCTGAGACATCCAGACGTGCCTTTTGAAATCCAGGATGGCGACGGATTCCCCGGACTCCGCCTGAATGGCGAGCGCATGATTCGTGCTAAGCCCCTTAGATTCACTGCTGTTCCGCTGTTCTATAATTTGCACATCACAGATCATAGACCATTCTCGTAGACCCATTTAGAGATCGGCAAAGCCTAGCAGCCAAGCGAAGCCAGGCCAGGAGTTGCAAGTTTAAGATTCGCAGCGAGGTATCCTGACGGCAGTCCGGAAATGACAGGGCAATGGCTGTATGGCGCCGGCCAGGCGTGGCTTCATAAGATTTCGCAGGCATTCCGGTCCACGTCAGAATATGCAGAATGTCATCTCGACCCTTCCTTCAAGTGAGGCCATGGGTGGAGGCGACTATGTTGATGCCTTTGTCCGGGATCCTCTGTCTGATCATGGGATTTGACAAGCCGATCGACATACTGTGCCTGTGTCATCCTGTGTCCACTGGTTTGCTCTTGAAAACGTGCGACTTAGCCGTGTATCGTCAAGCATGTCAAACATGCGCGTCTTGGAGCTTTGAAAAACACACGCACCTTACAAACAGAGCTGGGAAGTCTTTACCGAAGCGTGCCGAGATTGCCAGTAAGGCAAGCGCAATTGGCAACATCTGTCAACTTGCTCTTGAGTCTGTTGCCTTGACCAGCGCCTGCTGCGAAGTGTTCGGTTGCATCGGGTGCACTGGGCCAAGGATGGCTTCACGGCCTGGGCACCACCCCGCCGTCGACCTGCGGCTCAGGATGTCATCGTCACTGCCGACGATTGGCCAGAGGCTTCCCAACAGTTTGTGCTAAGAACTAAGATGACAGAATCCGCTGATCAGCAGCCGGAGGAAAGGCCCGGATGGCCTTTCAAGACATTTATCCGCTTTAAAGCTTGTCAGCTTGTCCTGGCAAAAGCCCAGAACCTGAACATCGACGGGCACATCTCGGCTGCTTAATTTACGTGGGTTTAAGTAGGGGGAGGGGGCCTGCACTGTACTCTTGACTCTTGCTATCAACTGAGCTTCAAACCTCCTATGTAGTCTCTGCCGAGTTCAGGCTGATTGGAAGCCTGTAGCAACTAAGCCCGGCCCCAATTCCCAGCCACGACGCCCAAGCTACAACTGCAGGTTCGTGTAGCTGATGCAGGTCGAGTGGCCGAAGACCTCTCCAGATGGTTCGACCACGCGAGATGCTTGGAGGGCCACGACACAAGTGTCTCCCTGTCAGAAGAGGGCACGCAAGGCGTGCGAATCTCTTGCCTCGTCAATCCCAATCAGGTCCAGAAAGCAGTTTCCTCAAAAGCTGAAGGATGAGTCTAAAGCCTGACAAGACAGGCGATGAAACTCAGTAAATTCTGATCCCTTGAAGGAGGTTGGCTGGTCAACACTCATCAAAATTTTGACCTGCCGCAGTGTTGGCAGGACACCTGCACCGGACTTCCCCAAAAGCACATGTTCGAAGCCACAATAAAACCCGACCGGAGTGGCGCCGCATCCTCCCCGCAAAGAGCCACGCCAGGCTAAACCAAACAGAATGGCTTTTGGGTTTTTGGCTTCCTGGCCTTACTATGTAAGTCTGCTCTACTCTATCGACTCTTCCTGTTTCTGCGCAGCTTGGGGGCTTTTGCCGGTCGACCGCCAGGGGCCCAGCCCGTCGACTCTCCCATACGTGAAGCAATAGAGAAATGAAGAAAGGAGGACCAGGGGAGATGGGCGCACATCAAAGTGATCATAGTTGACCTATCGAGGATATCCATGCCGATAAGTCATACAAAACGTAGGGAACTTCCCTTTTTAGCTACCGATCCGGCCCCCCTTCTCAACCCCCCCAGCATAAGTACTGGCCTGCTGCGTTGAACATCTTAGCGGTCTTAGCGAATCTTGCAATGTGCCGAAGATTCGTTTTCCGACAGCAGCCTCAATCTTGCACCGGCCTGCAGCCTTCAGAAGCTTCAGTCAGCATCCTGGAACGCTCAGGTGGACAGGCATGGGAGACTTCGGGGAGTTCTACCTCGGTGTTGGAGGCAATGAGGCTGCATGAGCAGACTGCAGCACGGCTCTTGCAAAGCTAGGCACCTGCGACGATGTCACACCATCAGTTGGCTACTGGTGCGGTGACAATGCTCCAAGGCATGTCCAGGCATCGTCGGGGCCAATGTCGGCTGCATCAGATCTACTCTGAAAGCATTTGAGACCTGTGCCCCGGGAGGCTCACAACTCACCATCAGGCACCTGGGCAAGTTGTTGGTGGGATTCTCTGCGCACCGGTCTTCAGACTGTGTTCAGAGAAGATATTGCTGATGTGCCGCACTGTGCTCGCTCACCTGTGTTGCCAGGCATTTTCAATGCGTCCCGCATTCTGCCGCACTTCCAGCTCCTTGGCAAGATGGCATGAGCAACAAGTGACCTCGCACCCACCATAGCAAGCTCTCGTCTGCTTGAGCCAAGCAAGGAAGTACACCAGCAACGCCTCAGCCAAGCCTGTCATCAACGCCTGGCGTGGTCAGCACTGCCCATTCCCGACCCAACACTCTCCGTCAAGACTAGCTACTGCTACTTGCACAGTCGTTCTCCAGCATATTTCAGCACGGGCAGGTATAGTCCTGTATATCGGCCGAGACCTGCCCTGAAGGTGGCGGCCGCTGGTTTTCCTGGCAGTTCCTCGTTGACGAGGTGAACCCTCGCCGCTTGGATCCGTAAGATAGAAAGCCACCCGGCTCAAGCGACGCAGTCGGCTGCTATAGCACAAAGCATCCCAAGCAAAGCCTACTCCAAGCCTTCGAGAATTTTCTGGATTTGGCATCGTCCTCCACGTCCACCTTGCATATGCCTGTTCCTGAACCTGAGGCAATGACTCCTTGACCTTCTCCGGCAAGCGTGGGGGAAACCAAGGCGTGGATGGCTCTGTTACTTGAAGCGACATTCTCCGACCGCCTCAGCCAGCTCAGCTGAGTTTGCAGGAGCGGAGGGTGTGAACTCTGGTGGGCAGTGGTGGATCGAGAACGTTCTGCCGGAATGCGATGCTCCGAACGAGTTTTTCTATGACCCCATGACCAGGCGTGGCCAACACCACCAAAATATGCTAGAAATGTTGCACTGTACGCCATGAAATATGTGCCTTGTAGTTGCCAGGTCTCTCTACGTTTCCTTCAATGGCTCGAAGGTGCATCCTGACGGGTCGGAGAAGTGGGTGGTGCCGGCAACACAGGCCTGCAGTCCCACACAGTTCGAAGTGACTACTTGTGCCTGCGTCGCATGGACAGGTCATCCTGAACATCACGAGCAGCAACAGCAGCGTCCGTGGAATCGAGCTTTGGCAACATCATGAGTCGTCAGGTGTACCATTCGTGCATCATCCGCTTTATGGCCTGACGGCGTAAGCGTGAGAGATGCGGAATCTGTGTCAGGAAATACGCGATTCCAAGATCACCTACTTGGAACCTCACGGCTTGCCATCAGGCACAGCAGACATTGCTGTCCCTGGGTGTTTCAGAATTGTGAGCATGCGGTAGGTATGACGCATAATTAGATCCATGTAGAATAGAGGTGAGGATTCTGTCTGGGGAAGGCACTTCTTATCAGTTCCTTGTAAGCATACCCGGATCCCATTGTCGCGGCAGGTGGAGACTGGGCAATCGAACGGCTGGGATCCGTGTTCATCGGCGATGCAGACAATGTCGCTCAGCTGGTTGAGGGATTTCGGAGCCTTAGGACAAGCATGAGCCATGGACGAACTCTGGTTGATTCTGGGCACGCCAGTTTGTTCACCAACCACACCTGCTCATGTGCTGTGATGCTCAGGTTCGCATAGAAGATTGTCACTTCACCAGACTGGATGGAAATGGAGTGTTTCTGGACGGCGCCGTGAAGAATGCGCTCTTGCAACACAACGAGCTCCTTGAGTCATCCGTGAAGCATGCTGTGTAGCTGAACAGCCTTGTTTGAGCTGTTTTGTGCGATGACACGTGAACTTGGTATAGGTTCTCCTACATCGGCAACTCGGCCATGGCAGCGTGGGGCTACACGAGCGACTGCCTCAACACCAACTGTACAAGGAAGCTGCCGGCAGGAGAGTCGGGAACAATGTGGGAACAACGTCAAACTTCCTTGCGTTCTTGTGCAACGCCGCATCTTAACCAGCTAGCAGAGAGGGAAGACTTGAACACCTTCTAGAGGCAAAGCGGATCGCCACCTTAACGAAGAGTCACGGCTCGACGCCTGTATGTGTTCCATGTGTTCCCATTTTCCCTTCCGGTCAGGCAGTCGGATGGGGCCAGATGGCCGTGCCATGCATGCCCCCATCGGTACAGTGGTGCGACGAAGCTTGGCCCAGACTCTGCGTTGGAGGGATCACCACTTCACTCACTACACTGCACTGCTCGGCAAGTATTGCAAGGAACCTGTCGGCAATCTAAGATCTGTCTACACTTCTCCAAGATGTTGTGGCGATTCGACATGCAAGCACCAGCACGAGAGAATCTGCAAGAATCTTCGGAAAACAAGCAAGTCCTAGGAAACCTGGTCCGCGAGATTGGAATATGGCAGAAGCAGTCCTCCATGTGGTTCCAGGTGGCAGGGAACCACATGAAACCACGACTGCAATCTTCTCAGGGTTTCTGTCCGAATTCTTGCAATCATTGTGGCATTGCCACCTCATGCCAGGCAGTGGCTGCCGAGTCGCAGATCCTGGAGAATGTCCACTTCAACGGTCCGCGAGCCGGGATCAACTTCAACGACGGTTTTGGGGGTGGTGACCTTATTGAAGGAGTGCTGTGACCTGAATGCCTCTCTCTGCCTTTCCTTTCACCAACTCTCCGGGAAGGTTCGCACCCGCAATGACCCGCAGGAAATGTGGTGGGCAACTGCGTTCGCGAGTCTGGAGATCACGGGCCCTACAACAGCTGGGACCGCGTGCCATACATCACCACGCTCCGCACTGGCAACGCAGCTTCTTATTCTTGAGAGTCTTGCTGGAGCGAAGTGAAGTGTCTCTAAGCAAAGGCAAGCCTTCGATCATTCCGAAGGACCGGCACTTCACTCGACACTCTGCAGAGCGAAACTATGTGTAGCTTGATTTTTTGGAATGTCTCCATAGTGTCTTCATCGGGCTTTCGGTTTGTGGTCGGGTGACAGAAGCTCGGCTTGCTGCAGGCCATGCGGAGTGTCTGCGCGGTTCCTAGGTCTACTTCACTACGCATGGCAACTGACTAAAAGCTGATCCGTTGCACAAGGAAACCTGTGGTTTGGGACGTACAGCACCCAGGAAGGTGCAGACACGGACGATGGCTCCTCGTACATGCTGCATGATGCTTGAACTATGATTTAAGCTGAGCGTACGTCCGTAAGCGATTTTTTCTGAGCTCAGAGCTTTGTAGCTCTAGCTGCAAAGCTGAGGATTCGAACGTCTTCGCTTTTGGGACGAACGGCCTGAAGAACGACTTCGGTGGGCATGACAATCGGCACAGCAATAACATGTACCTCTTCGTGGACACTTGTTGGGGTATGGGCCCTTTGCCTCACACAGAGTTCGGAGATAATTACTGGAAATCCACGCACTTCACGACACTGACAGTCCTGCAGAGCTGTAGAGTCCTGCACGCCAAGGTTTCGGACCGGGCACGAAAGATGGATCTGCCAACAACGATGCCTTCACCGAAAACTCATGCCTGCTCAAACCCAGAGGCAGCCTGACTTCGGCAAATGTCTACTGCGCAACTCTGCACCGTGAGCAATGCCGAGAGCCTTCAATAATGTAGTCGGCATGGCTTCGACACCCCCCGGCTTCTGTACAAGAAGTTGATCAGGTAGCAGGTTAAAACGGCCTCAATGATGCTTTCAAACGCCAAGTGGTTGACAGGCTCATATGGATCTGACTGCGGCAACAACCCCTTTGGATTCCTCACGTACGGGAACCAGATATATACCCAGGACGGCGGACACGGGATGTGCACTCCGGGCCGTGCCCAACTCGAGTATGCTGAGCTTCTGCGCATGTCGTGCGCCGGCCTAGTAGCTGGGGTGCCTCGGGCAGATCACATGTGCACTGTTGTCAGGATGGCACTCTTCAAGTCTGCGGAGGGCATGACCTGAATGAATATGCCCGGGGCCCAACAACCAGGGAGTGGAGCTTCAGCACCCAGTGAGAGACAGGCAAGCCTAGTCGGAAAAAGAGATTTGAGCACAGCTGATGCAGCAGCGTCCAGTCATTGTTGATGTGCATTCCTGCCACGAATGCGGTGTAGTTCTTCCGTCCACAATGGGGCATGGTGTATGTTAAACCTACCTTTGCAGCATACTTGACACACAGATGTTGTACTGTTTGTGTGCTACACTGCTACGCGGCCTCTCACTTGTGGGGCGGACTTGAAGCAAGTTGAGTTGTTAAAAGGTCTCAGCGCCGCGTGTACATCAGTGCCTAAAACGTAAAACGTGAAACCCCCGTAACACAAGGATTGCAAAATCCCTGCAGGGACAGGTTCAGAGGTTAGAATCTCTGAGCGCAGCTTCTCTACATGGCGCTCGAGAAACGCTCGCAAGAACGTTCTCAGGCCACGCCTTGGAACCATGTGCGTGCATGGCGTCCTATGGGGCTTTGTATTGCCCGTTCCTGAAGCAACACTCCAATAATCATGATGTTTTGCGTTTGCGTGGGGGATACCATCATTTGCACTGCCTACTTGAATGCAAGTCGTTTACTTTCGAGTGTTTCTTGGCCTTTCGCGGGCCGTAGGTTTGGTTGAGTAAAGGCATGGTGGGCTGAAACACAGTGCAGCGAAACTGGAAGAGCACGTGCAGCCTTACTGAAGCACCTTGCTGACAATAAGGTGGCTCACTCTGGCCGAGCAACTGGGCTGTAAGGGATCAGAGCGAGACAATATGTTTGCATTGTACGTTTTTTTAATGCCTCGAAGCCTTGAATCTTCGAAACAACAACTCCTTCGGCACGCATGACAAAATGATACAAAAGGACCCGGGCTCCTCTGTTGCCAAGTGGCCTTCCGCTGCTGACCTTGTATCTTCGGCAGGAAGGCTCTGAAATTGAAATGGACATTGTGTGAACTGCACAGTTCTGCACGGGATATCTCGCACTCATGTAGGCGGATGCACAGATAGGAACATCATACTGCAAGCATGCAATGACCTACAGTGGACTTATGTGGACTGTCTTGTGACCTAGGACTGTGAGGCATGCATGCCGCACGAACACTCAGCATGATCTCAACATGCCCAGTATGCAGACTCTAATTTAGTTTCGATCTTGTATTGATGAAGAGGTTCGGCTTGCTAGCTATTAGAATCTGTCAGGCTCCTTCGCCGGAGAGCGCCGTCCCTTGGATTATTTGACCCCGCGTTCAAAAATGAGTGAACTGCGGTTTGCGGCAAATGGGTGCAAATATGTCTTGCAAATCGTTCGCCTGCAGTAGACCACAATGTTGGTTTGAGCTCTCAACTCGCCCGCTGTAAGGAGTGAGCAGCTTTCATCGAGCATGTCCCAAGTGTTCGTTTGAACGTCTTATGCACGGGCTACTCCTGCTACTCGACCTTCTCGGAGCTTCGTCGCGCGGAGCAACCATCTTTTCGATGTGGGGGCGGCACATGGAGGCGCAGCATCAAGTCCCTGCACGATGATTCCGCGTGTGCTGAGCCAGCAGCCCATGGCCCGAAGGGCGATTGCGTTGAGTATAAATGTGCATACCGCCTCTGCCGTTTCAAGACGATCAGAAAACACGTCCTGGTTCTAAGGGTGAGCAGGCGCCCAGGTGTGCTCGTGTGTGTGTGAGAGTGTTTACAAGTGGTTAGTCGTTAGAGCTTCCTGCGGAGCATGCCATTCCAGCAGAAAAACCTGTTTCCCTGAGAACTATGTCATTCATGTGTCCACGTGCATCGCAGTCGCTGCCAGTCGCCGTCCGTAGCATCCTTGGCTGACAATGTGCAGCGAAGTGACGAAATAGTGGGTCCAATAAAATGTCTCAGCACAATGCTGTGCTGGATGCTTTCAAGAAATTTGATACTGATGGGAACGGCTCCATCAGCAGGGAAGAATTGGTGGCAGTCTTGAAGACCCTAGATTCCGAAGGTTGGGATGACAATTCAGTGGACCATCTGCTGGCAAGCGCCGATGCCGATGGTGACGGAGCCCTACAAATCGAGGAATTTGTGCGCTGGGTTTTCGCCGAAGATGCCAGCAAGTTCGGTACCTCGTCCCTTGGAAACAGCTCTCTGACGATTCTGATCGATGGCTGCTCGCGTGATGACCTCAGTGGTGAGTATGTGCAGCAAGATGAATTTTATGGCCACCGCCCAGTATTTTTCAATGCTGACAAGGGCAAGTATTTGTTCTACAACCTGAAGCAAGCTCGTTGGCAGATCTTTGTTCGGACCAGTTGGAAGTCGAGCGCACGGCTTCCTACCAACAGGGCTCCGCACCTTTCTGGTGACGTTTGGCATGTCTACACAGAGGGCAAGTTTGTGCAAGAACCTGATATGTCAGTCAAATTGGCACCGCCTGGGACGCCTGACGAGAAGTGCGCCAAAGCTGCCGGGGCCATTTATGTTTCATCGAAGTGGAGCAATGTCACGGGCGGTTACATGAAAACTGACACGATTTGTAATGACCGACCGGTCTATCACAATGAGGAGGATGGGACCTGGTTGGCCTATGATGAGGAGAAAGCAAAGTGGATGGTGACAACTAAAGTGGGAAAACATGGCCCAAAAAATAAAATGGTCTCCTCTCTAAAGACTGATGTTTTCTCGCCCGAGTTGACCGAGTGGCATGGCCCAACCACTGCTATCAAGGTTGATCCGAGACGCAAGGAGCATCCCGGTCAACAAGGCGGTTGGATTGATGAGTCTTTCCCACACAGCCAGAGCAGCCTTGGGAACAAGAAGGCAATTGGTTTTGACTCAGGTCGAAAGCAATGATTCTCAGTCAAAACCATTTGACAGCTGTTCGAAACAAAAAACTGATCTCACGTCTTGGAAGCTGCCATGGCTTTCCATGCCCTGCCAGGACTGTGCCTGGGTGCGTGTCCAGGATCTCGCAGACCCTCCGGCGCTGTTCTCCAGTGTGGAGCCAGCGGATGCGTGTCAGGGAGCCCTTGGTGATTGTTGGCTCATTGCAGCTCTTGCTGGTGCCACGGCCAAACATACCAAAACTGTGCCTACTCCGATGAGTGGACCATGTTCTCAATGCATTCAATGCGAAATGAAGTTGTAAATTGATTTCTGACATTGCTTGTGATGTGCACGCGAGTTCCTTCCCTTGCAGCTGTGAGTCCAGCATTTCTCACCACGATTGCTAGGAGTGGCGGAGTTTCCAAATTTCATCCGGGACCACCTCTTCGAGACAAAGGAACTTACGGATGATGGCTACCATATCAAGCTCTATGACTCTCGTTGATGCTCTTTTTCTTTTGCTCACTCCCGATGGATGGCCATTCACGGCTTTCTATGATATAATTATGCATGTGCAACATTGGACTTTGCTTTTGTAGTTTGAAAGGTCGGAGTCAGAGTGTCTTCCAAGGTGATTTGACTTTTTTTCGCGATGGGTCCTGACCTCATGAGGGGTCCTAGTCCCGCCAGACTTTCCTTGTAATCCAAGGATTGGCCTCGCGAGCAATGGACGGTGGTGAAGATTGATGACTACATCCCTTGCCAACCCCGGAAGTGGTACGAACCAAAGGCCGTAACACTCTTTGCCAAGGTCTCCAATAAGCAGCTTTACGTGGTGTTGATGGAGAAAGCGTTTGCAAAACTCATCGGTTCCTACCAGGCGGGCCGGATGGGCAGAAGTTCGATTTGAGGTAGACCTTTGCTACATGTTGCAACATCATTTCGGTCGTCAGCAGTTGGTGTCTGTTTTTTCCGGAAGCCCCATTATCATTATTATCGTCATCATCACCGCCATCCTCCTCATCATCACCCTGGTCCTAAGCCCCAACCCCCGCAATTGGCCCATAGTCATGATCATCGTCATGCTCGTGATCGTTATCATCATCATGATCATCATGGTCATGATCATCATCATCGTCGTCGTCACATTTCTGCATCATCCCTATGAGCTGTGATAGCATCTGTAGCATCATCATCATCATCATCATCATCAACATCATGACCATTACCCTATCCATCATCATTATCTTCATCCTCAGCCAAACCGTCGATCGTAATCGGAACCCCGGAAGTGCTCCAAGATGAACCTATGTGTAAACTTGGCCAGACTTGTTCGAATCAGGCACATTCATTGGCGGCACAATAAGCTCTAAGATGATCTTGACATGCTCCGTAAGCCGGCGATACATAAAAATATACATGTTCCCACACAACATATAATTACAGCTGTTATTCATATGTGTTCATGCATACATATACAAATCTTTAACGGCTACCGCCAGTGCCGCCGACCCCAGACAGGAGGGCGGGCGGCAGGCCGGCAAACCGCAGAGCCAGTACAGGCTCCGAGATTTAGGGTTTAGGGTTAAGGGCTGTAGCAAAAAAATATTTAAAAAGAATGAGTTCTATGTATAATTAATGTCTATACACATAGTATTTTAAAGTATATAATGAGTTTTTGGTAAACATGAAGACCAAAAGATAAAGGAGATATCTTTTAGGTGGGGGCGCGAGGGTTGGGCATGCACTGCAAGTGTGAGGGGGGTGATGGGCAGCAGGCCTGTACTGTGTGAAAGCATTGGGGGGTGGGGGTGGGGGGGTGGGGTGGGGGTGGGAATCTCCCTTTCTCATGCGGGAGGGGAGCAGGAAACGGGTGGGGGGTGTGGGGGCGGCGAGGGGGGTGGGGGGGGGTGGGAACCTTGCCTCATCGGTGAGGGAGGGGGGGGAGGGGGGAGAGGAGGGGGGGGGGGGGGGGGGGGAGTTGGGGTGGGGGTTGAGGAGGGGGGTAGGGTGGGGGGGGGGGGGGGGGGGTGAAGCGGGGGGGGGGGTGGTGCCCTGGGTGGGGGGGGCTGAGGGGTGGGGGCGGGTGGGGGGGTGGGAGCGGCAAGCGCTTGGCGGACTGTCATAGATGAGGTGGAAGGTCTAAAAAGCAGTGGGTCTTCACTGACGCCGCCCCCGGCTGGGGTCGGCGGATACATATGTTGAAGAGCCGTTTCTTGTCACGCCACCGGACATGACACTCGAACACCAGCGAACCACAAACTCGCAAGTCTCATCAGCACCATCATGATGCTTGCTGCAGATGCCCAGATTTCAAAACAAGTTTTGCTGGCTGCGAAGTGATGTGCATGATAGCATTGATCCGTGTTGATCCCACTAAGTAGGGCGGGGTACGCGAAGAAAAGGACCATCCGTCTTAGCTTGCAGGCACCTGCCTTGCCCTCAAAACATCTCAGAACTGGTATGCTCATGGTATTTGCAATACGGTCAAGTGTGATTGCATTTCTTCTGGGTCATTTGGTATGATTCAAGTGTGCTCACATGCTAGGCGCCCAAGGGCCGTTTTTTAACATCACCAGTCTCATCCAACCTGACAGATTCAGGCAAAGTTGAAAGGTTCAAGGCCCAATGCTTTGAGCGGCGGGGACCTGCCAGGCTCTTTCGGGTGGCTGGTCTGCCATGGCCTGGGTGTGCATGACGGGTGAGACCAACCTGATGTTTTTCTCCCGAGAGAGGCCGGGAGTTGAATCAGCTGAGGGCAAACACAGCACGGCTCCTTCTTGCGAATGATTTGTTGAAGCCTCTCGGTTTTCGGAACTGCGCGGAACACCTTCAGATTTCTCAGTTCCGCCAGCGGGCCATTCGATGCCACCGTGTCACCGGATGTAGCCGCGTAGCCACTTGTGCAGGCACCAGCCCAAGTGGGACGTCATCGGCTCCAAGGGCTTGGTCGTCCGAAGCGGGTGCGACCTGGACACCGAGAAGCTGGGCCGCCTGAGCCATGGAGCCACCTTCGTGGAGCTCGAACCTCGGCAAAGTCTGGCAAAGTGAGCCCAGAAGCGCAGATGTGGCAGGTTTACGGCCGATGTGTTGGTGTTTTCGCGGTGTGCCATGCCGCAACGTCGAGTGTTGGACCATGTTGGACCGGCGCGGGGCTTCTCTCTTTCGAAGTTAGGTGCGTTCCTTTGTCACATTGTCATCCTATGCCATCCTTGATCCAAAGCGGAAGCATCCAAAAGCCAAGGAAAAGTTTGGTTATCGGGTCCACTTCAAGAAGCTCTCGGGTGAGGGTCCTGACGAGGGCTGGCTCTCTTGTTACATCCGTGGCTACGAAGTTGCCAAGTGTCGCGACCCGATTGACTGGATCCAGCGAAAAGTGGTCCTCCCCTCCAGCATCAGCTTCAACATGTCAAGTCCCAGCAAAGTTGCCAAGCTCGACCAGGACAGCATGTGGGACGCGTTGGTGAAGTTTGACCGATCCAATTACCTCATGGCTGCTTCTATCCACTCGGGCAAAAGCGGGGAACACCGGCGTGAAGATGGCTTAGTGGAAGGACATGCCTACTCAATCATCCATGCCGTGGAACGCCGAGGGTTGAAATTGGTCTGCTGCAGGACGCGCTGCCGGAGGGCTGTTCTGTTCTGTGGGGCCGTTCAGTTTGGTTCAGTGGCTTTGAGATTGGTTCAATTTCCTGCGAAGTACTTCTGCTTGAACTACTTCTGCTTGTCGGATCAGTTGGTTTTTGAATGCGCCGGTGGTGATGCTTGTTGTGCTGCGCTCCATTTTGGCGCTTGGATCCGGAAGTTGTGGGTCCAGTGTCTGGTATTGAAAAAGTTGCCATTTTTAAAGTTTGACACCAGGGCGCAGGGTCAAGCCAGGGTCATCATTCCTCGTGCTTGTAGCAACTTGGTTGGGCCACAATGGTCCTGACAGGAACCCATGGGGCAACAAGATGGAGTGGAACGGACCATGGTGCGACCAGAGTGAGGAATGGAGCGCCCATCCCGAACTAGCAGAAGAGCTTGGGGTAGATCAAAAGGCAGATGGACTCTTTTGGATGGAGCCTGGGCGGCAGGGCATATGATTCGGCTAAGTTGTGTGTGTTTTGTAGGTTGAAGAGTGGAAAAGTGTTCTGTTAGAGCTTGCGACGGAATTGATGGCCGAAGGATCGCTGGTAGGATACGGAAGAGACATGTATCTTCCTCAAAAATGTGGAAATTCTGTGTTCTCTGTTCTTGTGGGTGCTGAGGACTGGGAAAGCTTTGCGCAGACTTTCACTCACTTTGAGGTTTGTCCCAAGTCCATGCCAGTTGAGAGGGCCAAGTTTGACGACTAGTCACACAAAATGATCCAGGCGGATGATCCGTCCTTTGATCCATTGCATTGCAAATTTATGGTTGTGGTCCATGGCTTGTCTCAAAGCCAGAGTGCCAGAGAATACTGTACCAACGTGAACTCTACAGGCCCCCGCGAACGCGGGACCGCAACACGAGCTCAGCTCTGCAAAAACTCTGGCAGGACGAGAAAAGCAGTGCTTGTTGCAGGTTTCTTACTGACTTTATGTTTTCTGCACTGGTGTGTGGTCAGATTTTCAACCCCTTGCATGTTGCCATGTTGAGCTCCATGATCCAGGCACCGGAGTGACGCACAGGACGTCTGCAGGTGAACCCGAATGTAATCCCACCACAGCCAGAAGAAGGGTTGCCAAGTAGCGCTTGCCGCGACAGAAAACCACGGGAACAGCTGTTGCCAGCTCAGCCAAGAAAAAGTGTTCTGATGTTGGAAGATCAAGAAGCAAAGAGTTCTAAGCCGGAACGTAGTATAGACGTCGCAAGAAGCTTGAAGATGGAGATGGGCGCATGCGGCTGCGGGTGAAGAACGAAATCAAGGAGGAGATCTCACAGCGGCGAAGGACGATCCTCGATCCTCGTTTTTGGTTGCTTTGGCACCATGGTGCGGGCCTCACAGGTTTGGGAAGCACTGCGCAGTGAGAGCCGCCGTGTACACATATTTCTGGAACATGTTTAGGGAAGGGCTTAGCTCAGAAGTTCTGAAGGGTAATGTGCAGCGGAATGGACAGCGCTAAAGCCCAGGACAAATGCAGGTTCAATGCCAACAAATTGGGTTTGGGAAGGTGCGTATCATCCTCATCTTATGTGGCTTTGACAGCGAAAGCAGGGCCTCTTTTCAGACTGCTTTACGATATTCTTTCTCGGTGACAGAAGGTGCTCAACGTTTGTTCACTGAGCAGCTTGGCTTGGCCAAAGCTTTGTTAAGAGTCCCCTGCTGGTGTACTCACTGGGGTTTGACATAGGTATTGCAGCTCAGCGAGGATTGCGGACGATCCGATAGCTGCGAGAGAGAGGTATTGCAGATGCGAGCAAAGGTGTTTTGCGAATGAATCGTTTGGTGATTCTTTTATTGATGGTTCTCGGGATGCTAGACAGTGTTCAAGTACGCTCTCCCCGGCTCTGACCATAGATTCGTGTCCGCATGGCTTGCAATGCGCAGAGCGCAAGAAGATGTTGAGGTCTGTGCGAAAAAGAAAAGTTCATTCTGACATATTCTGACCTTCGACCACGGTGGACATACTGCATTGGCAACATGAACGTTATCGTCGTCGTGAAAAACACAATTAGGCAAGAAAGGTTCTAAGCTGCTTGACCCGGCGAAAGTGAGTGCTGATCAGAGGGGTGAGGGTTTAGGGCTTAGGGCTGCTAGAGCTGTTAGAGCTTGGACTTGAGTGTAATTGGGGACTCGCGCTCGCCCCAAACGACCAAACGTGCATCCCACGTTCTTGCTTCATGATACTTTGTTTCCAAAGGCTACGAGTCAGAAGTCCAGGGTATGTAACTAAACAGGCCTCGGGGTCTTTTTGCAACATAGGGTTTGTACAAACAAAGCTGTTCACTTTGCAGCAACCGTTCTCCCCAACAAGCGTTTTTCTGTGAAGGAGGTCTCCAAAGACAGGTCCGCCGCACACGTGTGAAACGAGGGGGTTCGACATAAGCCACTCACCTGTGCATTTAAAAGAGGAGGCGGGGAACACCGCGATCTTCCTTTACACAATACTCTTGAAAGTTTCCACATGCCTGGCACTGCGTGCATCTGCCCTTTTCAAGTCGAGGCTTCGGGCGACGACAAACCTGGCAAACACGCGACGTTTTGGCCGTCGAGCAAAGAGGTGCCAAGCACTGTGTTGTTGTTCCTGTCGCTGTTTGCACTTGAAGCTTTGCCCGGTCGGCCAAGCTCTGAACCACAAAGCCCCACTGGCATGGCAAGGTTCCTCCAGTTTCTCCACATCAAGCGCCAGCAGACTTTGGAGGCGGGAGGAGATGTTCAGGAGTGGAATTTTCCATGCGCGGACAACAGCCTCAATTCGAGTGTCCTCTTTCAGAATGCCTCCCCTTTTACACTTGCTGTTACAACTGAGCCTAAGCTTTATGGGTTTGACTCGTTTGACCGACTGCTGATGAAGTAGCCATCAGGCCGGCGAGGCTTGGAGTGGTAGCCTAAGCTTGTGCGCCAATGGACGTTTGTGGCCCCGAGCCGAGGGCACGGCACTTGCCTGGAATCTCAGGTCTTTGCCAGCTGCTATCAGCGCCGAACTTTCTCCGAGCGTGCCTCACCTGCTCTCAGTAGGCCACTGTGCTCGACAAATAGCTCAAGCAGGAACACACCCGACCGCAGCCGCAAAAGCGGCAGGTATAGTGAGGGCCAGATTGTGAAGTTGTGCTCCATATTGTGCAGTTGGGCCTTAACTGCGCGTTCGACGACTACTTAGTCTGGAGACAATAGGTTAGAGCCTTGTCCAAGCAGCATTAACGTTTATGGAGAGGATGAACTGCTCAACTACGTCAGTACTGAGATTTTGAAAAGAAAAGTTGGGCGGCAAGACCTATAACCCTAAAACGGAGATGTTGGGTGACACGCCCTAACCCCAAAAGGAGATGTTGGGGGTGCCTGGGCTGCAAGCCCTAAACCCTGCAAGGAGATATTGGGTGGCAAGCCCCTTTTTTAACCCAAAAAGCACTAGTAGATGAGAAGCAGGTGTTGGGTGGTAAACCCCCCAAGCGATGTTGGCGGGAAGGGACCAAGTGAACCCAAAAACATATGGGCAAGTGATCCGGTGCCGTGAACCACTAGGAAGGTGCCAAATGAGTTTCCACCCTTCCGGCCACTGGCTCCCATGCTCCTTGTTGGTCGAGGTTCGGAGTGATGGCATGGGTCGCCGACGCAATGCAGTTTACGCACAAAAGGCGCTGCGGCGCTGTGTGCTCCGCTGTTGCCGACTTCTGCTCGTTTGAATTGGCATTGGCAGAATCTTCTGGTCGCCAGGAGCCTCCTGTTGTTGAAGGCCAGATGCGGGCTGAGATGTTCACGAGTGGAAGGTTCCATGAGCGGACGTAAGCCCAGTCGGAAGCCTCTGAGTCATGAATATCGATGGCCCAATGCTTGAAGCATTTTTGTCAAGCTTGTGGTTTTTCCTTCTCCAACATTCGCCCCTCTCCCTGCTGGTTCCCATTGAGGCCGGCGAACCACGACCACGACATTCGTGGAGTGGTAGCCTTAGCTTGTGTGTGCTAATGGGCGTTTGCCGACGGCTTCTTGCTTGCAACCTCAGGTCTTTGCCAGCTGCACTCGATGCCGAACTTTCTCCGAGCGTGCCTCACCTGCTCTCAGTAGGCCGCAATACTCGACAAAACATACACCCCACCGGAGCCGTAATAGCAGCAACAACACAAGTAATCGCATCCCCCAATTTTTAAACGTGGGGCTCCCCCCCCGCAATAGAAACTCGAAATGCGTTATTAATATTAGGGGGGGGGGGGGGGCGTCTTTATCCAAATGTCATGTTTGGGGTCCAAAGGGTTTAGGGTCTAGGGTTCAGGGTTGGAGAGTTTCAGTAATTCATGACTTTAACCCTGAGAGCGTAGAGAGAGAGAGAGAGAGCTCCACTCAGGCAGCACAGCAAGGCTCCTTCAGGATGTTGGTTGCTTTAAGGCTTTTGGGAGCCCTGAATCCCCCCCAAATTCGGAATGGGGTTGCAGGGACACCGCGGCCTTAAATCATAGGAGGATCCACCGCCTAGGCAACTAGGGCCAATAGAGGTCGCGAGATTTCCCTTTCCAGGCCAAAAAGCAATAAATGGGGTTCGTTTCTCCTCGGAGCCCTGGTAGGAGTATTAAAAGGTGGGGGCACTTGAAACTCTAAAGGATCTCCTTCGGTCCGAGCGTGTGACACTTCTGGAAAGGATCAGCTGCTCAACTGCTTGAGATTCTGGAATGGGGCTGTGGAGTATGTTCCGGAGCAGCTGCGTGGCGATAGGGATGCAGTGCTTGCTGCAGTAGAGGAAGACGGGATGGTCTTGAAGCTTGCTGCAACGGAGCTGAAGAATGACAAGGTCGTCGTGATGGCTGCGGTGAAGCAGAACTGCCAGGCTGCGCAGTTTGCGGCTGAGAAGTTGCAGGAGGATGGCGAGATTTTGTTGGAGATTGTTGCTTGGCTGCCATGTTGACCAGTGCAAAGCAGTGTTTTACGTGGTGTTTCCAAGAGGAGATAGCATGATTGGCATGGCATTGGCAGGGCGCAGCAGTGCTACTGTGACTGTATGAGGAACGCTCAAGCTGGGTGAAGAGAACGAAGCTTTGCTGCTCTTGGAGGTTTTGTTTTTGCAATACTGGCTTGAAACAAGCAGGCTCTAATGAGACTATAAGGAAGGATATGGGCTTCCAGTTGAAGTTTGCTCCAGAGTACCTGCGCAACGACAAGGAGGTCGTGCTTGCTGCCGTAAGCGGTTGCGGTGCAGCCTTGGAGTTCGCGTCGGCAGAGCTGCAGACTGACTCAGAGGTTGTCTTGACTGCAGTGACGAACGATGGAATGGTCTTGAAGCTTGCGCCTGAAGCAATGAAGTGCGACAAGAAAGTCGTCGTGGCTGCTGTGACGCAGAGTTGTAAAGCCGTCCAGTTTGCGTCCCAGGAGCTTCAGGAGGACGAAGATGTGTTGAAAGCGATGGCACCACGTGTGGCTGCGTTGAATTATTACCCGGCGTTTGCAACATACCTTTGACTCCACGCTTGACAGCCCGGTTTGATAGCCCGAGCATAGTGAACCGAAGCTCAAGCTAGGTCCTGACATTCTGGCATTCTTGGTTCAAGTCGCATAGCTTTGTGCTGGATGGTCAACACATATTGTCCTGGCTACCCTTTACCTGGCCCTCATGACCGTTGGGACTAGGGCGCTGCGCAGTATTGCACGGCATAAAGCTCACGAGTGCTCACGTGCTTTACGCCCTTTATGACCCATTATGGTCTCCCAGAACACAGTTGAAGTGTGCTTGACTTGGGGCAGGTTTTGCATGTCCATATTCGGTGTCTGAGGCAGATGATGAAAAGCAGCGATGGCTGAAAAGACTGCAAAAACGTTATTTTGATTTACAAGAAGCACCGGAGCACCTGCGCCGCGACAAGGGCTTCGTGCTTGCTGCCATTGGGCACGCTGGTGCAGCCTTTCGATTTGCCCCGCCTGAGCTCCAAGCTGACCGGCAGGCGGTCCTTTCCGCAGTAAGACAGAATGGAATGGTGTTGGAGTTTGTGTCTGAGACGATGAAGGACGACGAGACTGTGCTCACTGCAGTACGACAGAATGGCATGGCCTTGCAGTTCTCAGGTGCGACGATGAAGGGCAAGAAGAAAGTTGTGCTGACCGCAGTAAGGCAGAATGGATTGGCTTTGGAGTTTGCTTCTGAGACGATGAAGAATGATGATGAAGCTGTGCGGACTGCTGTGCAACAGAATGGCTTGGCCTTGGAGTTCTCGGGTGGCAGGATGAGGGGCAACAAGGAGGTCGTCATGGTTGCAGTCAGACAAAACAGCCAGTCCCTGTGCTTCTCATCTCAGGACATTCAAGATGATGAGCAAGTCGCTAAAGCAGCAGAAGAGAACCAGGATGGAATGGCCTGAAATTTTGGAGCAAATTGAGGGTTAGTGATAGCGATAGCTGTTGGTGCTGGTCAAGGGTCATTCGCCTGGTGACCTGGCGTGTGTGTGTCTGTGTGTGTGTGTGTGTGCCCACCCCCCCCCCCCCCCCCCCCCCCCCCCCCCCCCCCCGTTCTTCCCCCCCTTCCCTACATCCATTGCTTGCATGATGATGATGATGATGATGATGATGATGATGATGATGATGCACCACATGCCACATTCCCCATGGTAGGACAGACCAGGGTCTCTTGTCCAGGCCAAAGCTGAGATGGAAAAGTGGCTACGCAAGGCATCGAGCTGCGTGGAAGTCCTTGAAAAGGCCCCGGACCATATAAAGGGGAACCCGGATTTCGTCGTGTCAGCTATGGTGCGCAGCTGCAATGCCTGGAAATTCGCTTCCAAAATCCTGTGGACCAACAAGGATGTTGTGCTAGCCGTGGTGAAGCAGAAAGGGGAGGCCCTGAAGCATGCATCCGAAGAGCTGAAGAACGACCCGGAGGTGGTCATGACAGCGTTGAAAGAGAACGGCTGCGCTTATCAGTTTGCTTCTGCCCGGCTCAAGCAAGACAGGCGCTTCTTGCTTCAGTCTGTGAAGGCCACAAAAGCCTCATGGCTGGTGAAGTTTTGTTCCAAGGAGCTGCAGGATGACGAAGATCTGGAGAAGCAGATCCTCCAAGCAACGGGAAGTGGCTTGATCTTCACGTACTATCACAGCCACAACGGCTTTTATCAGTTGGGATCCGAGTTCCTCGCATGTATGGCTTCAGTGCCGGGAGGTCCAGCGTATGACAATGTCATGGAAGAACTAAAGAAGCGAGCAAAAGAACAAGAGAGCTGCACCTCGGCCTCAGCAGATGGGGCGCTGCAGCTTACATGAATGGTTGCTGGGCTATCCAAGCAGGTCCCATGATTGGAAGTGATCGTTTTTGAAACCAGGGCCTCATCGACAGTACAAAGAACATGTGCCAAATTCTATTCGACAAATCAAAGAGACTTGTCAAAACCCAGACGTTTTGGCGATTTTGCCAAGACATGGATGCCCAAGAGCGTCCGGCAGCGAATGGTTTTGTGATGCAGAAGATTTTGTGATGCAGTGGTGCAGCTACGATTGGGGATGGGAACATGGAAATGTTGCGAAGGCATTGGGGAGGGCCTGGGTTGGAGTCTTGAAAACATGAAGCGAGAACAGCAGGCACGAAAGTCCGGCAAGAGCCCCGATTCACTCTATTACACGCGATATTCTGCTGCGATTCCTTTTCTTAATTTTGCTCGATTCACGCTACTAGCATTGCCAGATTCGCTCTGCCCCGCGACTCTTTCTACTCGTATGTCCTCGATTCACTCTACCACGCAATGCATTCTACTGCGGTTCATTCTACCGCGTGATCATCGCGATCCATTCTACTGTGGTTCATTCTACTGTCTTGTCCGATTCACCCTGCCACGTTTCTATGCTTATTGCCCGATTCATAATCAATGCCCCCGTCCCCCTCATCTCATTGCTGGGTTTGCAGCATCCATGCTCGGCGGAGAATTACAGACTTGTGACGTTTCGTCTGCCTTGGGTTAGTCAAGCTGCAACTCCTTTGTCCTGCGCTTCCCCTTTTGAGGATGGAGAGGCCCTTTTGATCACGCACGAATCAGTCCACAAGGGCTTGGGCTTCAACGAGTCTTTCGAGTCTGTTGGCTTGGCACCCTTAAGAAGTAGGAGTGGACGTGCACTTTGATCTCTGTGCTGTGTTGGTGCGGGAGTTGACGACGTCCCTCACAAAACCAGCTGTGAAGCACAATGAAATGAAAGCCTCAAGCTAGAAGCTCCACACACAACTGTTTGGAAGCTTGAATTTACAGCTAGCTCCGCACAGTTTTGGGAAACATCGGATTAGCAGCCAACTAGAAGCTCCATGCGCAACTTTTGGGGTGCGGGGGAATTCGGGGTCGGAGAGGGGTGAGGGTGGGGAGGGCGGGGAGGAGAAGAGGGTTCGGGGGGAGGAGATGGAACCGATCAATGGAGGGGGGCAGCGGAAGGGAGGTTGGGAGCATTTTCCAAGTCATGATTTTTGGAGAGCAAACCTGTTCAATGTCTATGCTTTCTGTAGAATGAATCCGCGTTATCTGGTTGAAGGAATCCATGGGAAGGAATCCGCCGCTGAGAGTAGAATGAATGCCTGGCATTCGGTATATGACTCGGCGTTTTCTGGTAGAATGTGTTGTTAGAGTGAATTCATTTTTTTTGTAAATTGAATCCGCGTTTGCAAGTAGAATGACTCCGTCGTTTGACTAGAAGGAATCTGCGCACTGACCGAAAGTCTGCAGGTGCAAAGACGCCAATGGCCTGAATGAGTGCAGCAGGGTGGGAGGGGTAGCAAACACTGGAGACCTTTCAATTCAACCTTCGACCTCGGAATATATGTGTCATCTCTTTGGTGGAGGCTCGCCTAAATACAGCGGGAGGAGGGGCGACATTAGGATGCAAGCCCCGAACGCGCCTCGTTAAGCTCTTGGGTGCTGAGGCACAGCGACTGTCTGGTTTGCAGATGAGCCCGTCTTCGGCTTCAGCGCCGATGATGGAAGGTGGCTTCATACCGCAGAGGAGTGTGGTCGAGATGATGTGCCAGTACCATCCCCGCAAAATCGGGATGCGATGCTGGGTTCTTGTTAAGGACACCAAAAGAGGTTCCCATAAGGTTGTATAGTAAATATTGTCTTGCCCTTGTTATGTTACTTTCAGGTTTATGTTCCTGAACAAGAACCCAGGATGTGGAACACCTTGGTGGAATCCAGATCTGAGAAGCTGGAACTTGCTGTCGGCACCCGCTATAAGTGCTCCCCGGTTTGAACATGTAGGGTTTAGGGCAAGTTTAGGGTTCTTTGACATGAACGAGGAATTTTGAGAAACATTGATAAATGTTGAATATTATACCACGGTGTGTCCGCAACCACTGGCCGGTTTCAGTTCAGGCTGGTGTTGCCGCTGGCTGAGGAAGGTAGCGCAAAGACAAAAGGAAGGTGCTGTGATTTGCTGTGCCACATCCAATGTCTATTTCCCAGATGCTCGGAAAAGGCTGTGCAACATGTTGCGTCGTTCCTGCAAGAAACCAACACTTAGGCGCTACCTGTAGGCCTGTTGGATACTCGCTGGAGCAAGTCTGCTTCCGATTGAAAAGAATTTGGAAAACAACGCCATGTGCAAGCAGAGCCAGCAGCGAAGGTTTGCGAAGTCTTTTGAACACACAATTGCTGAGTCCCTCCTTTGGCTTTAGGGAGTCGCTGTTTCACCAAGGAGTGGGTGGAGAAGTTTGGTGCTGGCTCTTCGGAGCTTAGCAATGAGGCTGCCCACGACCACGGTCTTCGGCCGAGCCTTCGGATTTCTTGGAAACTTGTGTATTTATTCCGTGGTTCGATGGCACATACTTCTGACGCTTTGCGGGCAGCCAAGGGAGAGTTTCAGCAATTGCAACGGCTTGCCACACGGTTGGGGAAAGGGTTACATCGAGCTTAACAGCTGCAGCGTACCACGCGCAGCACCAGTCCATGAGCACACGATGAAGCTTTCCTTATAGCAAATTGTTTCTTTGGTCGAAGCCAATAGGCCGAAATGTCCGTGACTCTTACAGACCAAAGCTTGCTATGTAGTGAAGTACCCTGATAGCCCAGGAAGCCTTTGGGCGAAGGCTGCCGTTGGGAGCGTCAGGTTCTCGACCAGCTTGGCTTTCCGGTATACGCATTTTTCTCCCCTTGAGGGCAGGGCCAGTGCGCCATGCAAGCGGCGCTTGTCTGGCCCACATTGACTGTCTCCATCTTGCATATGACTGTGCAGCAGTCCCTGCACTTTGTGACGGAGCATCCGTCTCCACTGTCCGTATGGCGATGTTTTATGCTCATGCCGTTTCTTCGTTCACCCTCGTTCGTGCCATGTGTATGTTGCCTGACCTCATCAGTGTTTTTGATGGGCCTCTGGGCTTTGAGCTCTCAGTTCAAGTGCTCCACCTGAACAGGAGGTGTGCAGCTGTCACTGCGCTGCAGTTTAGCGGTCTACGCTGTCTACACAACCCCTGTTCCAAAGATGTGGATCACGAGCCCTGCAGTTTGGTGAGCCTCTGTCAGGCAAGTGCCAGTCACTAAAAGTGCTGGTCACTAACTATGGGCTCTTGGACTCAGTCTGACTCAATAATGCGGAACTCAAGCATTGGGTACAACAATTGAGACCCGTGGATCGCGAGGGCACTGGCTGTGTCTTTACTCCAGACCTGATTTCTTCACGTAGTGGGCCGTGCCAGCAATTCGTCTTGGAGTGGTGGAACTATGCTTTCAAGGATTTCGGGGTACACGGCTTAAGGCATGGTCGGGGTGTTGCGCTCGATGCTCAATTCATTGGTGTGGACTCACTTGCCAAAGTGTCGAACAGGCATGTCATGCCAGAACGCGGTGCAGGTAACGCCCTGCCCTCGTCTTCTCGTTAAACGAGATTCCAAGCCATCGCCGGGTGAAATCGACAGTGGTGTGAGTCACAGGCAGTGACGAATGCAGCATGCCACGGTTCGTCCTGGCATCTTGCTTCGATCTTTTTCAACGCAGAAGAAAACAGGCGTTTTTCTAGAAATTGCACATATGGTCGCCAGAAAACTCTGGCTTGTAATAAGGACCCCAAAAGGGACCTCAATTTTGGCAGCTACCCATATCCCAGTTGAATGTCTTTCTTGAGCTATCAGCCAAGAGAACGTGCAGCTGAACTTGCGGCCGGGCCTGTGGCATGTGGCGGCCTGTGATGGCTGGCAGACATGTACTTCTTTTTTGCTCGATTCAGGCTTGAATTGTATGACTCAACCAGGTGCAGAACTTCACCCGAATTGTTCATCGGAAGGGCCATGTCTTGAACAGTTGCAGCAATTTCAGGGATTGTTGGAGTCGGAGGTCATAGCTGGATAGCTATGGATAGCTATGGATAGAAGGGCAACTATCCTGAAGATCATGCAGCCCTGGACATGACTCTCTAAGAACGCACCGCATGTGACGCATGCCGCGACCTCAGCCGTTGCCAGAGAATGCAGTAGGTCGTGGGTCGCTTTCAATATCTTTCAATGCACTCTCGGGCATAAAGCTGAAGGTGGTCTGGCGCATGACCCAAACAACCATCTGACGCTGAGCTCGTGTAAGAGGGGAGCTGCACAAAGCACTTGAAACCCATCAGAAGCGCATCGCAGATCAGAAGGATCGCTGTGGTACATGTTGTCTCCACGTGTAGGGCAGTACTGCAAGTGGCATCAAGTGGCCCTTCTCTGACCCTCACCCAAGTCGTCCCTGAAACTCCAGCTTGGCTGTGGCACGTAACTCACACTCGCAATCGTTCTAGAGTCACTTCCTCCGAAGCCTTGAAAGAGACATAACCGGAGGCTCAAGTGCCCCCTCCGGCGCTCGCGCTCAGGCGAAAGCCGCGCGGCAACTTGCATGTGCTCATTGACGTGTGGACCCAAGCTCTGCGGACTCGATCGTAGATTCCCTGAACATCCCTGAACCAAAGCTCTCATCACATAGCACGGCATCAGGCTCAAGGTTTGTGAATGCAGTGGTCCAGCTGGTCCATCCTTGCATTGCAACTGCAATGCCAATCAATCGATTCCGTGGAGAATTCTTCTTTCTGTCGAGCTTCTTTCCCTGCCGGCAGGGTGTGGAGTTCGAAGGTGATCTGTACCCGACTTCTGAGCATGCATACCAAGCCGGTAAGATTGAGGACAGGGACAGAAGGGATTCATTCACATTGGGCGGGTCTCTTGGTGACAACCCCATGCAAAAGCAAAGGGTAAAAAGGTCAAGAAGCGTCCAGATTGGGAGAGTCGGAAAGTGGACGTGATGTTGGCCGTTGTTCGCTCAACGTTCGCGCGGGATGCGGATTTGCGCAAGAAGTTGCGTGCCCCACGTGGTCAAAAGCTTGTGGAAGGTCACACGGGCGACAAATTCTGGGGCGGAAAGAGTAATCATCTTGGCAACATCCTCATGCGCGTGCGAGATGAACTTCCAGAAGAAACGACCCAGACGGAGGTTCCAGAACAGGAGGATGGGGCCCAGTCCCCAGATCCCAAGTGCACGAGAAGCAAAGGCGACGAAAATCGCAGAGCTGAGTTTCAAGACTAACTGGATGCATGGATGGAGCAGGTGAGCCAGAAGGTTCAGCCAGTTCAACGGATGAAGCATCATACGCAGATGGGCCTGAGATCGACGCTGCATCTTCGCACTCGGGCCTCTCCGAGACCTTCACAGATTGGCTTCGGCTTGCCCTAACCCAAGAGATCACCGATTCGGCCGATCTGGAGAGTGCTATGTGCGCCGTGGAGGTCATGTTGGGAGCAGTCCAGGGTGACCCACGCGAGACCCTAGCAGATGTAGCCAAAATGCTCCGAGAGGATTTTGGCACCCCTGAGACTGCCGTTGACTTGGTCCAGAATTGGTTCTCCCTTCAATGCTGACCATGCGGCATGGAGACGCGCATCAGTGACCCTTGTGGACCCTGAGCTCGGACGATTGCTGTACAGATTGGGTCTGAAGCAGGAAGTTTATTCCTGCCACAGACTGCTTGAGTTGTATGCAAGACACCACATTCCTTGCCAAAGCAGGCCCACCCCCTACTGTTAGGATGCGTCGCCGAAGCCCCTTGTGGGCCAGCAGCTCACATGAATGGGGCCCGGGTAATGTGGCCCAAAACCATGAACCCTAAACCCTTAAACCCGAAGCCCAAACCCGAAACAGCCCTTCGAGTTCTTGGACCCTTAACCCGAATCTCAACGCCCCGAATGAGAAAAGGTCGACAGCAGGAGAAACCATGCAATTTAAGGTTTAGAAACTTAGGGTTTGGCTAAGTTTTGACCCACACGCAGGGCTGGTTGAATTTCCATCCCAACCTTCATGGCGCCTGCGCTACATCACAGCAAACACCCCAAGTCCTTAAGCCCTTAAGCGTTAAGCCCTTAAACCCCAAACCCAAATCCTTAAGCCCTAAACCTGGTGCTGAAAGGGGGAGTTGTGGAATGGATCCACATAATCACCCTCATACTATCCCCGATTTGTTGGATGGGCGAGCACCCCCTCCGAGCAGTTCTTGAACTGGACTTAAGTTCGTTTCTGCTACCTCGACTAGTTCTTCGTTTCTGTAGTCATACTATAGCATACTATAGTTCTGCGTTCAAAACCTGACTTGATCGCGCAAGTGGCCGATGTGGCGTACTGTAGGCTCTGCCAAAACTGATGCACTCGAGGTTGCTGTACAACAGTGGAGAATTAGAACAGAACGCTGCCTTGTTCTTGCTTCTGGTTTGCTTAGTACAGCAAGCACTTGGCCGTCCAGCAAAGTTTCCGAGGAAGAGCATCCGGCTGCCATGGATGCCGTTGTTTCTCATGCCAGCCAAGCACCTGACGAGGCATCTGTGGCTTCTATGCAGCAGCATGGGAAGACTGTAGCAGCCAGGGCGAGAAAGCTGGATGCCAGCCATGCCAGCAACATCTTTCGGACTTGGGCTTGGCTAAATGTGCACAGCAGACCTGGCCTTAAGTCGAAATCCGACAATCGGCACAGGAATGGAAACCGCATTGCCGTGGCATGTATGCTTGGGGCCAAGCTCAGTAGCTACTGAGGCGCGGATTTGCCTGCTCCTGTAGTGTTTGTCAAATGTTGTGATGGTGAGAGCTTCGTGCAACAAAAACCTCGGACGGAAATGAATGGTTCTCTTTTGGAGTTCTATTCTTTAATGTGGGGTTTCTTTCTTAAGGAACGGGTACCAAAGACTGCCTTGTAGGTTCGTGGCTGCACCAAGCAGGATTTCCAGATGCCGGCCCCCCAGTAGCCTCTGATCAGTGGAGGCTTCCAGCTGGGCAAACGCTCAGGGTTGGAGTTGGATAGAGCTGCAGGTGTGTTCATGTGCCACATCCGAGTCCCCACATCTGCTCTTCGTAATCTTTATCTCGAAGCAGACCGAGGTCGCGGCGACTAAATTCTTCGTCGACGAGCACTCTGGTGCCTTTGTTGCTGGCAATCAGAATCAGCTCCAAACTTCCTGCCACAGTAGAACCCAAACCGTCACAACACACTAGACCACACTTCTGGGGGTTCGTAACAAGCATATTTTTGAGCTTTCAGCTGGAGAGCATACGAAAAAGAAGGAACTTCGCAGAGAATCAACGCATGCAAGAGCGGGGTTTCTTTACGAGGCCTTGCTCGCATTGCTGCGGGATGCCCTTCGAGCAGTTTGCGCTACCCAACTTCCTCAACCAAGAAGACTGTACAGATTTGCTAACGGGGCTTAAGGGGCTTTCGTGCGTGCTCTGGTTGGTTAGGCCGAGAAACCCAACAAATGAAGGAAAAGAGGGGATTTGGGGAGGGGAATCGAGGTAGGGAAACAGGGCGTCTTTAGCATCATTGGAACCTCTGGCGCCCACTGCCGGGGACGAGACAACTTCTTAATATTATGGTTCTTCGCTTGTCATTATTGCGTACGATCGTGCATATTCAGGTCATCTTTACGGTTGCAATGATCACCAATGCTGCTATTCCAGCGCACCATGCCATGAAGAGATTGCTGTTACTGTGATTAATTGTATTGTTTTTTAGAGATTTCTGTTACTGTGATTACTTGTTTGAGCCACTGGTTGTTGCACTTTCTGTCGGCATGCTCATGTGCCAGGCACTTCGTAAGCACAAGTCCATCGCGCAGTTGGTGACCTTGGCCGCGCTAAGCTAAGACAGGTGGATCGCATCGTTTTGTATTTTAACAGGTCGAGACTGCTGATGTTGAGGATGGCAACGAAGAGGATGACAAGGATGACGAATCGGAGCATGAGGATGACATTGGACATGCGCTGGCGATTGCTCAGCATGAACGTGGCCTGGCTGCAGCACCAACATGCATACTCGCAACAGTAGCAAACACTAGCTGCCATCATAATCGCTAGGATAGGTTCCAGCCGTAGACCTCCTAATTGCTCAGAATTCAAATTACAAGGTGCGTTGTGGCTGGGGTCCAGGAATAGGGCCAGATGGTCTGTATTCCGAGGTGGTTTCATCGTGTCGGTTTCCCATGGACAACCCGCTCTATAGACTCTTTGCCATAAATCCTTCATCCCACCTAAACACCGAAGCCTCAGACCTAAACCTAAACCCTGGACCGACCTGCGTCTAAAAAAACCTATGCCTTCAACCCCGCTGCACTGCTCAGCCGAGGCTGCCCCACCGCGACTTCTTGTTTCAGCTATGATATGATGTGTGAAGCTCTGCAGGTTAGGATCTAGCGAGCGAGGGCCGGCTTGGTGTCTCCAAGGCCACGAGATCAACGAATGTTCGTAGCTCTACGAAAGATTGGGCTGTAGGACTGGGATAGCCGGATGTCAGACAGGTTTGGAAGCACTTACACCGCGGCTAGGGCTGCTGCAGGAGGTGTAGTGATGCTGGGCCTTGGTGCTGGTGGTTTCCATCCAGCACCGCGGCTGTGCGTCGCCACTTCTGTTCATCCCAGGCATGCGGTGTTTGTGCAATCAGACTTGTTTGACAGCCGGCTTTCCCCTCGTCAAACCTCCACCCTGCTTGACCAAATCCTGAGCCATTGCAAGCCCTGCTGGTCCTGGACCAAGCCCACGCCACCGTCCCTCCGCCCCATTGATTCTACATCAATGGAGGTTTGAAGTCCCATGCGCAGGCTTGAGCCTAAGTGTGCTGAGTGTGCGACGTGACATGGCCATCGATCCTTCCGGGCGGGTATTGCCAGCTCTTCATAAGAAACCTGACTTCGCCAGCATCGCACCACACCGCCCGCCACGCGCCCCCGTCCTCAGCCCTCAGACCCACGGGCGACGAAGCACAACACTGCTCGAGCCCACCTTTCTGCAGGCACCCTTGCGTGCACATGTGCATGCAAGCGTGCAAAAGCGCGCGCTGTGCATGCGCATGTGCATGCGAGTGTGCCTGCAGAAAGTGGTGGGCTCGAGCAGTGTCGTGTTTCGTCGCCCGTGGGTTTGAGGGCTGAGGACGGGGGCGCGTGGCGGGCGGCGTGGTGCGTGGCGAGTCAGGCTTCCCACGAAGAGCTGGCCTTACCCGCACGCAAGGATGGCCATGTCATGTCGTTGTGCACTCAGCACATAAGGCTCACGCCCGCGCCATGAGCCTTCAAGCCAAGTGGGCATGGACTGGCGGGGCTGCAACGGCTGTGATGGATTTGGAAGGGCGGGGTGTGGGCGGAGGGACGGTGGCCACAAAAACGGCTCACTTATCCAAAATCACAGTTAGGAAGACTAGGCAGCATGGTACAAAATCTTGTGGCTTTGCAACTTCAGTAGGCTTGTCAGAGAATTGCTCTGCTTTACAATAGCTCGATGGGAGACGTAGCTCCTGGGCTGCAAGCGCTTGAATGGTGCGTGCAACGAGTTCGCAATCTTGCCTGCAAACGGACGTCTGCAGGAAATGAGCGGCAGACCGCACATTTGGACGGCATCGCTTGTTAGATTTTTCTGTTTGCACGCTTGCGGCTGTCATATCTGAGTCGCCGTGTTGATTCCAATGAAATTCTCAGCTGTGGGGTATGGGTGCAGGTCCATAGTCTCAATACAGTCACATGTCAAATTCTGACTGACGCACTTGAAAGAAACTTCTCCATGATATCTTGAAGTAGCACCATCACGATGACATCTTGAAAGAACACGGTCGATGACCTCTTGCAAGAACCTCGCTGTCAACACAAGTGGATGGAGAGAGCCTACCCGTTAGGAGTGCTGCCACGTAAGGTTACACTGCGCTACCGGTGCACGCTCTGAAGTGTTCGTATAGAATATTCTAGCTGTTTTCATATGCCTGTCCCATAAAGAATCGAGGCAGAATTTTGTAGGGTCATTAGGGCTTCAGTGTTTTTTGGGGGGGCCCAGGTTTATTAAGAAGGGCACGCGGGTTGCACACCCGCGAAACATACCCCGAAACATACCCCCGCAACATGCCCCGTAACATACCCCCCGAAATTGCAGGTAAAGTAGCTCATGATGCCGCGAAACATACCCGAACCATACCCCCGAAACATACCCGCGAAACATACCCCGACCCCTCCCCATTAAAATGCAAGCCCATATAGGGCTTTTGCCAAGTGATCTTCGTTTTCGGATCAAGGTTAGTTTGGCTTCTATTTGGGAATTGTATGGGGCATTTCGATTACATAGATTTGCAATCGAAATAGCTTGTAAGACTACTACGTAGCCGAAAAGGCACGCAAAACACAAGGCTCTTTTCTATTGATTGGTTCTTGAAAATAGCAGACAAGCAATTGATTGATCGTATTTTGTGTTTTTTCGGGTTACCAAGTGCAAATACATGATGATCGACAGAATATTCAGGCAATACTGAAAACAAATATGCGTACAGTTTTTTACATGAACGGAATGTATGTCTGTTACATCAAGCAAGGGGCGTAAGCATACAAAATATATATATATACTGTATATACATATATACACTCTCTCTGTGCACGCGTGCATACATTGTGTGTGTGTGTATGTGTGTATATATATGTATGTAGAGATTATGTGTCGTGTGCATGTATAGAGTATATATGTATATTGTTCTTACAACTGGGCCTCGATTTTTTAGAGAGAGGGTGTGCATACCTCATGCCTGGTATATGCATATCGTATATATGTATTAGGTTTTTTGGAAGTACCTCCAACGAGGGGACCCGTATGCAGCACAAGTTATCGTGCGACTTCTTGTCTCTTGTTTAGCCGTCATGTTTCACATCAGTTTTCGCTTCACAGCAACCGCTCGGACTGGCCTGTAAGGTGAAAAAATCAAGGTTTGCCATGGGCTTTTGAGGTAGGTTGATGTCTCTTGCGGGGGCATGGACCGCTCTCCTCCCGCTCAACTGACACCCTACTGTAGTAGCAATGGAAGATGAAGTAGCAGTACCAGCAGCAAGTCTTCTTCTGAACCTTATAAGACCCTAAGCATAAATCTCTCAATCCGTCTCCAGACCCTCGTTGCCTTTGTAGATCAAGCTGGTCTCAGGCGTTTGGATTCTTCCCTGCAGTTCGAGGCATCTTGGGAGTTTTGGTCTACGGCTGTGGGGTTTTAGGGCTTTAGGGTTTTGGGGAGAATCTTGAGCGAAGTCATGACACCGAACTGGCACCGCCCATCGCCTCCCTCCGCTCCTGCTTGGATCAAGTTTCCCGGTTTCTAGCTGTTTTTCCCAGCCGAATTCCTGTTTCCATTACTGTTTGCTGATGGGGAGGAAAAGAATGGCAGTAATAGTTACTGTACTTGTACCCAGCTCTTGCATTCTGTAATTTCTGGCCAACAAATCCAATGATTGCCAATCTTTCAGCAGGAACAGAAACTAGAACCTCATGCTTTCATTCTTTGCTAAACACCGCTAGGCCCTAAACCCTCGACCCACAAACCCTGAATGCTAACCCCCACTCTGCTAAAGAGTCCTACACCCATTTCTCCCCAACAACCCTTTAAATTCCCCTAAACCTTACGCCCTTGAGTTCTTAAAGGTGTGCTTCCTTCAATGCCAAAATTCCTTAGACTCCTCAGCCTCGAACTCTGCATTTTCGGCCCAAAGGGACAGCTCTTCACTCAGAAGCGTCTGTAGATGTCTAGGTGCTGATTGCACTGCAGTTTGTAGTGAATAGTGGTATTGTTTTGTTCGACTCGCCTTTGGCTCCGCTTGGGCTCCGTTTCCACAATGCCTTCGAAGGCTTTCTGTTGGTGCTTGGGGTTAAGGCTTAGGGTTGGGGCTTTGAAGGTAGCTGTAGCAGCAGGAGTAGGAGCAGCAGTAGGAGGGGTCGTAGTCGTCGTCGTAGTAGGAGGAGGAGGAGGAGGAACAGCAGGAGTAGAAGCAGAATTAGTAGCTGCGCCTGATCGAATCTTATCGTTCCTTCCTCCGTTGTTGCTACAGTGGCTACAGCTCTTGCCCCTCGCGGTGCCCCGCGTCTCCGTTTTGTGGTTCGGGTGGTTTTACACTTTAGGGCTTAGGGTTAGGAATTCCGGCTTCGGCGAGGTTTGATTTTTCAAATGCTTGGAAGCTTGAGGTCATGAGCAGTTATCGAGCGTACAGCTATGTGGGGTTTGTTTCGGGTTTGGGGTTTGCTGGGGCTTCTGGGTTTAGGGCCTAAAACCTCAGACTTGGTCCGGGACTCGACTTTGGGTTTGGAGATACAGGTTGAGCATTTGTTTTGCTGGGAGATGTTGTTACATTGTGCGTTTCGGGTCTTGAGAGTGTAGGGCCTGGATTGCGGAAGTAAGCGGCCTGGTAGTGATTAGTGCAGTTGTAAGTTCTGTACTTATATAGCGGGCCTTCATTCCGAAGCCTGGACCATCACTGCGTGAAAGACTCTTGAATCTCAGGTCTTCGCGTTAAGCCGCAAGCACTGAACCGTTCAACCAAGTTACACCTCGTAAAGCCCTAAACTTCAAAGTGCAACACTCTAAACCGCAGCCCTACCAGCGACGGGCAGGCCAAGTCCGTCATGAAGTCTGCGATGTGCTTCAGCTCCTCTTTGTGTGGTTGGGTTTGGGGTTTAGCCATTGGTGCCGTTCGAAGTCTCACTAAACTCTAGAACTTCAACCGGTCCGGTGGTAAGCCTCTCTGCACACCTGGACCCCCTAAGCCCTGAATCTCAAACCCAACCCCTGGTAAGCCTCTTAGTGTCAAACATGTGAACCCCCAGACTTACTTCCTCGAGCCCCCAACCTTCAAGTTGTCCAGCCCTGCCCCCTGAACCCTCCAAGCCCCCAAACCCTCAATGCCCTAAACCTAGGACCTAGATCATCACCTTACCGTAACCCTAAACCCCAAACATACGTTGCAAACAAACCCAGGACATGTTGGGCCCTCCAAGCCCGCAAACCCTCAATGCCCTAAACCTAGGACCTAGATCATCACCTTAAAGCCTAATCTTAAACCCTAAACCGTAACCCTAAACCCCAAACATACGTTGCAAACCAACAAACCCAGGACATGTTGGGCTTCCTAAAGTTGAAGTGTTTAGCGAACCTGGTAATTAGTGATTTCGGGTTTCAAGTAGCCCTTGACACTCTGAAGTTAAGCCGAGTAGACCCTATGCCTCCACAAACCTCAACACAGCACGGGTTCAAGGTTTAGGGTTCCGGGTCTTGCGGCTAAAGATTCATGGGGGTGGGGGCTAGGTAGTCGCGGTTTAGTGGGTAGGATCTGGGCTTTAGGGCAACTCCGTAGAACTGAATTCCGAATCCGTTAGACCCGTTCACCCTAAATCCTACATGCTGAACTACT